AGATAGAAAAAAATATATATACTATATTACTTGTTATTTTAACCAATGTTATATATGCATTTTCTATATCCATTTTTTAGTAAGTAGATAACAATCAATTAATGTAAAATATTCTAAGGGATTTGACAACACAATCCTAAATTTGACGTTAGTGTCAAATGTTTCAATTTCAAAACAAATGTGTTAGTTCATATGGAACAAGATATCCAATTTTTTTTTTCAGTTTTATGATGGGATGGAAAAATGAGTATCTATTAGTCTAGGTTTATAGTGGTAGGTTTGTACGATTAGGTAGTTGCATGTGGCTCTAAGTTCCATGCATGTGCCTCTTTTCGAGAAGAATGAGTATCTACTAGTTTAGATTCATGGTATGTTTGGTTTGACAATTACGATGTTATAGGAGTTAGTTTGAACTTTTTATTTTAGTCAGTGACTTATGAATTTTTTGTTTTGGATAACTCTATTAGGCATGGCAACGGACGGGTGGGTTTTCCTCTCATCCCCGCTCCCCCAACTATTCCTGTCTCCGTTTTCAATTTTACGTTAATAATTAAGTTTTCATCCTCATTTTTATTAAGTTTTGGTTTTTTATCTTTATTCTATTTTAATTTATATTATTTTTTAAAAAATATTTATATTTGTAATAAATTAATTTTATTATATATTTTTATATATAAATAAATATTTATAATTTATAATTATTATTAATTATATATATTTTTTTAATTTTTTATTATATATATATATATATATATTTATAATATTATTATTATTATAATCTTGTATTCAAATATTTGAATACTTATAATATTATTATTATTATAATACTGTATTCAAATATTTGATTATATGTTAATTCATTTTTAAGTTGTCATTTAAAAATATGAAATATATAGTTTATAAAAAAATATTTAATAATTTAATTCTTATTTAATTAGTTCGAAGTAATAAAAGTTTAAATTATTAATTTCTTTTAATATTTTATAATATAATTATTTTATTAAAATAAATTTTGATATATGATAAACAAGAATAATAAGATAAAAAATTATGACATAATAAAACCTAATAAATATAAATTATAAATAAAATAATATTAGTTATTACTAAGATTTATGTAAAATATTTAGAAAAAAGATAAAGAAAAAAAACTTTGTATTCATCAAATTGGTTGAAAAGATTAAAAAAAATTGATGGGATAGATTAAGAAAATGTGAAAAACGAGAAAGGTAAGAGAGAATAATGTAATAAATTAATTGATATAAAAGATTAAAAAAGATAAAAAAATTAAAAAAGTAGGTAGAAGAAAAATAAAAATGATGAAATATAAAAAAATGATATTATATGTAATAAAAACAAAAAACAAAAAACAAAATACTTTTAAAATATTAATATTTTAAAATTTAAATTTAAATATAAAGTCGGAGCGGGAATGAGATTAGAGCGGGAACGAGGTCGGAGTGGGGATTGCACTACCCATCTCCGCCTCCGCCTCTGCCCCCGACTTTTTAAAGCGGGAAAAACCTGAATCCGTCTGCACGCCCCGATCAACTCGAGTTTTTCCTGTCAAACTCGTGACGGAGATGAGTCGGTCTCACGGATACGGATTTAATTGTCCTCCCCATTATTATAGATAAGGAAAAAATCATTATAGTACACTAGGTTAAAATAAGGAAAAAATCATTATAGTACATTAGGTTAAAAGATTTGAACTTGTTGTGAATACAATTTGATCACAATGGTTAAAACTTGCATGTTGTTGAAATTTTTTTATTGTCTTAAATGAGGAAAAATGTGGTATATATGGTATTTTTGCAATATATGAATTTATAATCATAAAGAATTTGTGTGTGGAGTGAGATTATAATTTTTTTTTTAATTTGGATAAACTAATGTTATGGTTATAAATTAGAAATATACATGATTAGGATGTATGGAACTATCAAATGTGGAATTTTGAATAAGATAGCTGATAATTGGTAAGGTAATTGTACCGTGGAATATTGGAGGATTAAACCAAATTGGTGTGAAATTATTTTTTGTGAAATAAAAATCCTTTCGATTTAGTGAAAATGAATTTGAAATTTTACATCGATTTTTCAAGTTGTGCATTTCTTCTGAAAAGATACATTGATCATTCAAGCGAAAGTGAAGCCATGAGCAAGCATTCCATTTCGAAGGTTTTTAAAATTATAACGTGAGATAAAATGTACGTGAGTTTGAAGACATAAATTAAAAATATTTTATATATTTGTTTTTGAAATAATAACTTAATATGTGTCCTTGTGTGTTGTTTTTAGTTATATTATTATATGAGACATATAATATTATTGGTAGTAGACCTAAACAGTGACAAACTAAATGATGATTTTTAAGTGATTTATGAGATGCATATATGATATCATTTGAAGGGGTAAATATTTATATTTGGTGGATAATATGAAACACATGTAATACAATATAAGTATGAATATTTATCCCATTTTTTAAGTATTTTCAATTCAAGTTAGAATAGTTTGTTGTTACATTGCTTGCGAAAGTGGAATTGATGACAACACTCATAGGGAATGAAAGAGGCAGCATTTAACTACACTTGCAAGGATAATGGTGGTGTTCGAAGACAATGATGAGAGGAGAAAAACAATAAAACTGCGTGTTAATGGGAAAAAAAATGAAAAAACAAATTGAAAGAAAAAAGTGAAAAAAAATATAATTAGTGTCTTTAATAAAAGAGATTTTTCATTCTTTATTTTTTAAGAATATAATTTCTACATCAATTATAAAGATAATTGATGAAATCTCTTGCAGTAACGACATTAATTATTTTCATAATTCACGTCAAATATAACTCTAATATTTATTAAAATATTATTGATAAGGTAAATTCATGATTTTTTTCCGTGGAATATATATTAATCATTACTATAAAAAAATAACATTATATTCAAGTGATGTAGATTAGGCATGGCAACGAGCGGGTTACCGCTTCGACTTTTTAACCATTTTCGTTCCGCGTCTCGATTTATATTATTTTGAAAAGATAATTACATTTATAATAAATTAATTTTATTATGTATTTTTTATATATAAATAAATATTTATAATTTATAATTATTATTAATTAAATATACATTTTAATTTATTATATTTATATTAAAATATATATATGTAAAAAAATATTTAATTATTTTTTATTTATATATATATATATAGAGAATATTTATAACATTATTATTATTATTATTATACTATTCAAATATTTGAATACTTATAACATTATTATTATAATACTTGTATTCAAACATTTAATTATATATATAAGTTAATTCCTTTTTAATTTGTCATTTAAAAATATGAAATATATAATTTATAAGAAAATATTTAATAAGTTAATTCTTATTTAATTAGTTCGAAGTAATAAAAGTTATAATTATCAATTTCTTTTAATCCTTTAAAATATAATTATTTTATTAAGATAAAATTTGATATATGATAAATAAGAATAATAAGATAAAAAAATATGACATAATAAAACCTAATAAATATAAATTATAAATAAAATAATATTAGTTACTACTAGAATTTATGTAAAATATTTAGAAAAAGATAAAGAAGAAAAAAATTACTTTGTGTTCATCAAATTGATTGAAAAATTTAAAAAAAAAATTAATGGGAGAAATTAAGGAAAGGTAAAAAAATAAAAATATAAGAAAGAATAATGTAATAAACTAATTGATATAAAAGATTAAAAATGACAAAAAAACTAAAAATGATAAAAAAAAATAAAAATTGATAAAATATTAAAAAAATAACTTTATGTAATAAACACTAGTGCAGAACAGGGCTTTTACGTCACCCAATTGTCGTCGTATGCATGTATATTCGACGTAAATAAAACGCGGTGGCAATTTTGTAAATATGAGACAAAAATTTTACGTCGCACATCCCAGTATGCGACGTAAAAAGCCTCTTTTACGTCGCACCTGGGTGGCGCGACGTAAAAGATGGCTTTTTACGTCGCGTGCTGGGATGCGCGACGTAAAAAGTCTATTTTATTTCCCTCCAGACCCACTTCTTCGTCTCGCGCAACCAGGGTTTTTGAGAACGACGACGAGAACGACGACAACAGCTACCTCTGCACACCATTTTCGAGCAGTTTTACAGTGAAAAACATCTACATTATCGTGTCATTTGAAGAACTTGATCTTTCTCCCCGATTGGATTCGAGTTTGAAATCAGTTTTCGTCTAAACTTGAGGTTAGTATTCTATGTCATTGCTATATGTTTACATTGAATCCGTGATTGTTTTTGGGGATCTCAATCACGTTATAGTATGAATGTCTCCACTGGATTATTATTGGAATGTAATTATTTGTTTATTTGTTTGAATGCATTCGGTTTACACACTCCATTGTTGTTGGAACGTGCTTTCAATTTGTTTATTTGAGGGCCACAGATAACAAACCTAAACCTAATGTTACCGTGGCAAAAGATGGCAGTGGAAACTTCAAAACCATTTCTGAATGTTTAAATTCTATCCCTGCAAAGTATGAAGGACGGTAATTAGCCTCTCTCACGCTCTACCCAGTAGCTAGAAGCCTCTAGCTTATTTATATCTGCACGTATATTTGCTATCGTTTGAGGTATAATTATTATTGGGGTTTGAAAATGCAGGTATGTGATTTTTGTTAAAGAGGGAATATACGATGAGACAGTGAAAATAACAAAGAAAATGCAAAATATAACCATGTACGGTGATGGATCCCGAGAAGACCATCATCACTGGTAACAAAAACTACGAGGGACGGAGTCGGGACTTTCCTAACTGCAAGTTTTGGTACGCGGCATGTCTAAAACTAAACACCCTTCACCATGTGATGTATATTTTTATTATTATTATTATAAATGGGTAACATATTGTTTTGGCACATGCACGCGCAGTGGTAGAGGGAGACGGATTCATAGGCCTAGCAATGGGGTTCGAAACACTGCAGGCCCCGATGGACATCAAGCGAGTGGCTGCAAGAGTCCGAGCGAGATCGTGCGGTGTTCGCCAAGCTGTCGTTTTGAGGGCTACCAAGACACTCTATACGTCCAAGCCCACGAGACAATTCTACAGGAGCTGCATCGTTAGTGGCACAATTGACTTCATCTTTGGTGATGCAGCTGTGGTGTTCCAGAACTGCATCATGGTTGTGAGGAAGCCAAATGACAACCAGCGAGAACATGGTGACAAGCACAAGGGAGAGAGGACAAGCAACAAGCCACTGGAATTGTGCTCCGAAGTGCACAATCAAACCTGATGACAAGCTGGTCCCGATAAAGGACAAGATCGGGAGCTACCTTGGAAGGCCATGGAAGGAGTTCTCAAGAACCATTGTGATGGAATCGAAATAGGTGACTTCATTCACCCCGATGGATGGACAGCTTGGAATGGAGACTTTGCTCTCAAAACATTGTACTATGCTGAGTATGGCAACACAGGACCTGGTGCCACCACCAATATGCGACGTAAATTTACGTCGCGTATACTTCTATTTTTTTTTTAAATTGAAAAGGTTTTTTCGTCTGTTTAGTGTAAATCTACGTCGGATCTGGATAACTGACGTAAATTTACGTCGGGCAAAAGGGTCCGACGTAAATTTACGTCTCCCGCTTTAACGTCGGACTTAAATACGACGTAAAAAGCCCTAAATACCTGACGTAAAAGCCCCTTTTTGCACTAGTGAAAAAAAATACATTTAAAATATTAATATTTTAAATTTAAATATAAAATGAAGATGAGTATGTCATCTGGCAGGGATTACATTACTATCCCACATCCGAATTTTTAAAACAAGAAAAACTTAAACCCATCCCATTCCCCGTCAACTCAAATTTTTCTTGAATATGGATTTAAGTGCAGTCCTCACCTATGTATCCTTGTTTCTCAATGTTTCACACCATATGTACTAATAGTACATCGATTCTCGTGTAGCCGAGGTAAAATGTTTTCTGAAATTATTTATTAAGCCAAATAATAAAGTGATCTGAATAAATTAAAGTTTTGGCTAAATGTATATGTCATGAAAATATGATTGTGTAGAGACCATAGAGTAATTTCTAATTTGATGAGGGGCCAAATTGAAAATACAAAAAACTTAAGTAATTAACCTAATTTTGATTATATAAAGGGTCATGGTCCCCTTCTGAGAACACACAGACAGAACACAGTTACAGTCCCGTTCTTTTCTTTCTATCCCCATCAAGAGAGAAAATCAAGAGGGAAATACAGGTGCTCTTCAAGTGGAAGACCATAAGATCAAATCAAAAGTGCTCTACAAAGGATATCATCATTATGACTAATTCAGGTACGCTTTCGCATTTAGTTTATAACATGTTTACAGAATGTGATTATATATATGTTTGATCATTAGAATGAAGATCATAATTCAATTAAAGTTTAACCTAACAATTGATATCAGAGCAACCCATACTTGATTCATGTTTATCTTAAAGAAATATTTAAAAAATTAAGATTAATTTACGGAACCCTTAATCCCTAATTAAAAACCCCAAAATTAAGAATCCTAGGATTTCTTAAAACCCAATTCTCTGTTCCGCATGTGCATTATCCGGAGATGGCTAATTCAGGCCGCGCGACGCGGCTCTGATGTAGTTGGGATAAGAGGCACAGTGAGAGTGGTTTGCAGCGGCGATTGGGGAAGCGCGACTAAGGCCATGGTGGCCAGGTTAGGTCTCGCAGTTCAAGCGACGAACTTCCTCCATCAGCGGTAATGGCCAGTTCACGGTGCCATTCTTCGACGACGGTGGCGCACTCAAGAGGTTTCATACGGAGGTTTCGAGCGCTGGGTCATCCAGCCCAGATCTGGGGTCATCCACCCATTTGGGTAACCCGATTGCTGAAATGGCAGGGTTGGAGTGGAAGGAATGGTTCATACCTGGGCAGCACTTTCGAATACGACTTCCCCTGAGGCGCAATGACGAGGTGTTAGGTCTGAGTTCAATTGATCGCAGTGCAAGTGTGGGAGGGGATACATTTGGCAGCACAGGAGTCATATAACTCATTTACAGAGAATGGAACACACTTCCTCCAGGAGTATATGATGCCGAGATAATCAAATTCTTTCTGTTTATATGATACACGTGGTTTGTGAGATAACATGGACAGATATGACAATATTAGAATGTTGGAGGATTGGATGACAGAAGGTGTTCGCCATGGAGAGCTTGTTCTCAGGGAAACAAATAATGAGAGATTGAGGAAAAGTTTGGAAAGTAAAGTTCACAAGAAAGATCACTCCAGTCAGACCAGAAAAGTTAATTTTGTAATATATGTTGTTAATGCTCTTCTGATTGTGAATGTAATGAACGATTCTAGTGATTCAGAGACAGATTATATTGAAACAATTGTTTCTACTTTCAATTACCCATCCCTATCATTTAAAGATGACAAACCGGTACTTGTTTTCACTCATGGGGATCTCCTTTCACGCACTGAGCGTGCTCATGTTCGTGGACGTCTGGGAAAGTTATTAGGAATTCCACCCACCAAGCAAATTTTTGACATCCCGAATTCTGATTGTCCAGCAACTGAGTCTGCCATAATTGGAATGCTACGATATAGTCTTGCCTATGCAGACATAAATCTTCCTCAGAAATGCAAGGTCCTTGGGTATAAGGTTCATAAATTTTTTTTCACCAGTATACATGATTTTCCTGATTCTGGGGATAGGAGTTGCAATTGGTATGGGACAAAGAGCAGAAGTACACGTTCCATTTTCAAAAACAAAATTTCTCAATAAAATTCCAATGCATACATTGGATCAGGGAGTGGCAGAGAGGTTCATGGGCTTGTTTTGAATCGTGGGTTGTGTTTGGAAAGGTCCATAGCGTTGAAGTTGGTTAAGTTGTACGGGAAATGTGGGGTGTTGCAGGATACGTGGAAGGTGTTCGAGGAAATGCTTGAACAAAGATGTTGTTGCGTGTACTGTTATGATGGGTTCGCCTTCGACCCACGATGCATTAGTTCTGCAGTGGCGATGGTTCACGCCTATGAATGTCGCTGCTATATATAAATATATATATATATACATATATATATATATATATATATATATATATATATATATATATATATATATATATATATATAAATTAAAAATTTCAAAACAATCCAACTTAAAAGTGCATATACAGAAATTATAAATTTTTTTCCTTCTTTAGAATTATAAATATTCGGTTTTGCTATATAATTAATATATTCAATTTTTTGGTAGTTTAATATTTTTTGTGAATAAATTGAGTCAAGAAGTTACCAAAGTAACATTTCTTGAATTGGGTAGTTCATAAAAAATATTGAATGTTAGTGTTTGTGTATATTTATGCGAGTATTAGTCGACCAAAGGAAGATTAATATTTGGCTGAATTACATACACACATGTAATGATAAACATGTGATAATTATAAGGATTTGCTTTGTCGATGATAAATCAATCCAAAGACTGGTTTGTTGTTGGACGTGCTTTATTGTCAATGTTTGATTATTACAACAAGATACCTCTAGCAGTTAATATTACTCGTCCAAAGACTTGATATTGATGGTGCATTGGGTGTCTTGAGATGGGTTAAACCATTATTTGAATATATATTTTATTTATAATTATTTAATTTTATAATTGAGCATAATTAATTTATTTCTTTTGTTATTAATTCAGCTACAATTGCTTCGTATTCGCCAATTTAAATTTTGTTCGGTCCTCAATGAAACAAATTTTAAGGACTCGGAAAGAGAACATTGATATTATTCTTGGTCGCATGGATATGGATCTTGCATTAAGGATCGAGCAACCCCCTGTTCCTACGGATTCAAGTACCTCTGAACAGAAAAGAGATTATGAGAAGTGGGATCGCTCAAATCGCATGAGTCTAATGATCATTAAGCGCGGCATCCCGGAGGTGTTTAGGGGCACTGTTTCTGAAAACATCACAAGTTCCAAAGAATTTCTTGCTGAAATTGAACAGCGCTTTGCAAAAAGCGATAAGGCAGAGGCAAACACTCTTCTTCAGAACTTGATCTCCATGAAATATCAGGGTAAAGGAAATATCAGGGAATACATTATGAGCATGTCTAATATTGTTTTTAAGCTCAAGGCACTAAAGCTTGAACTCTCAGAAGACTTGTTCATTCATTCGGTGTTGATTTCTCTTCCCGCAACGTTTAATCAATTTAAGGTATCTTACAACTGTCAAAAGGATAAATGGTCTCTTAATGAGCTCATTTCTCATTGCGTGCAAGAAGAAGAAAGGCTAAAACAAGACAAGACAGAAAGTGCTCATTTTGCAAGCACCTTTAAGGCTAAAGGCAAAAGAAAGAGATCGGAGGATCCCAAGAAGGAAGTTGCTAAAGGTCCAGAACAAAAGAAACAAACTCAAGAAAATAAATGTTTCTTTTGCAATAAGATTGGACACATAAAGAAGCAATGTGCTAAATATCATGCTTGGCGTGAAAAGAAAGGGTTGCCTAAACTACCGGAAGCCAACTAATTCTGAAAGATGAATATACGTTGAAAATGGCAAATTGGTGGAGATAGAGACTATTGAACATTTTAGATTATTATTGTGTACTGGTTTTTTTATTTTAGATTTAAAAGACATTTTTTGTCGTGCCGTCTTTTAGATGGAATTTGGTTTCAGTTTCTTATTTGGACAAATTAGGTTATTTGTGTTCATTTGGAAACAATAAGTTCAGTTTGTCTTTTAATTCAGATATTGTTATAATTGGTTCATTTTTTGGCTAATGATAATCTATATTTACTTGATACTGTGGTCACCTATAATGCAACTCTTAATACAAAATCCCGTGGTACTAAACTAAAATTAGACTCCTGAACAGTAAGTAGTTACTTCATTGGTTATTCTGAAAGAGCCAGGGGATATAATTTTTATGATCTCACATTAAAGACAATTTTTTGAGATGGGAACTGTTATGTTCTTTGAGGATATTGAGTTTGGGGGGAAGAATAAGATTAAGAGTTTTGTATTAGAGGAAGAATCGACAATAAATCCAGAACCGATTCAAACAATTACTTTTGATAAAGTAAGTTCGGAACCTCCACAAGACATTGATGATAAACCCCATATTCAAGATGATTTGATTGTTCGTCAAGACCAAACTCAAGATCCTCAAGAACCTGTGCGTCATGAGCCAGGGATACTCTAGTTAATAAGGGAGACAAGTTTAGTCTAAATTAGTGCCCAAAGGGGAATTTGGAAATTGAGGAAATGCAACAAATTCCCCATGCATCAGCTATCGGGAGTTTGATCCCAAATGTGTATGCATCCATACATAACATACATAGTTGGGGTTCTAGGCAGATATTTAAGCAATTCAGGAATAGACCATTGGAAAGCAGCAAAAAGGGTCATAAGATATTTAAAGAGAACAAAAGATTATATGCTCACATACGGGAGGTCGGACCAGTTGGAGATCGTCTGGGTTTTCTAACTCGATTTTGCAGGATGTCAAGAATTTGTAGCATGCTATGAGGCATCAAATCATGGAATATGGCTCGGAAATTTTGTCACAGGGCTGCAAATTGTGAAAGGCATTGAAAGACCACTTAAGTTATATTGTGACAATAAATCAAGCTGTATTGTTAAGGAAAGAGTACAAAGTGGACATGATTTCCATAGAACACTTAAGGACAAACTCCATGATAGCATATCCTCTAACTAAAGGATTTCCACTCAAGGTCTTTCATGAGCATGTTGCTCACATGGGTGTTTTACGTTTGAGGAATTTGTGGTTTAGTGGGAGTTAGTCATTTTCATATATTTTATGTTCTATGTTTAATTTTATATATGTATACATTGTTTTTTGGACATATTTGGTTATCTATAGATATGCGGTTTTCTTGTTCATTCATTACACTTTGTACATTAAGGTTATTATATCGATCTCGATAAGTTAAAGTTTGGACCAGTTGAAAATAGACGTGTACAGATCACCTTCACGTAATTTTTCATGCTACACATTTCATGATGAATCCATGTCATTTGGTTATGTCGGGATGAGTAATCTTATTGGTTTTAGTTGCGATGATGCAATGAAAAGCTGGTTTGGTTCTATATCCTGATATGATTAATGGACAGGACTTTTGGAATATGCTAAAGGAATATAATGACAATTTTGAGCTCATAAAGTCTAACACATTTGTAAGGTTGTAAAGACATATATATTTGTGACCGAGTGGGAGATTGTTGGCAAATTTTGGGTCATGTATATATATGATACATATTTAAATGTGTTAGGGTTATTATTTATTAAGCCAAATAATAAAGTGATCTGAATAAATTAAAGTTTTGGCTAAAGGCATATGTCATGAAAATATGATTGTGTAGAGACCATAGAGTAATTTCTAATTTGATGAGGGACCAAATTGAAAATACAAAAAACTTAAGTAATTAACCTAATTTTGGTTATATAAAGGGTCATGGTCCCCTTCTGAGAGCACACAGACAGAACACAGTTACAGTCCCATTATTTTCTTTCTATCCCCATCAAGAGAGAAAATCAAGAGGGAAATACAGGTGCTCTTCAGGTGGAAGACCATAAGATCAAATCAAAAGTGCTCTACAAAGGATATCATCATTATGGCTAATTCAGGTACGCTTTCGCATTTAGTTTATAACATGTTTACAGTATGAGATTATATATATGTTTGATCATTAGAATGAAGATCATAATTCAATTAAAGTTTAACCTAACAAAAATGTTTTCTGAAAATTAAAAGTTCATCGTTTATCTTGATATGGCGGTTCTGCATTAACCAAGACAATAGACACCTTGCCAAAAGACAAATTCTTCTTAACTCGAGGTTATTATAAAATAGACAAGAAAAGAAATATAGTAGCAGCCAAACTTGCATATAAAGTAGTTAATACAAGAAACAACATCAACATGACATGGTCTGTAACAACCATAAGGCTAAGAGGGTAACCATCCCTCAAAAGCTAGCTCAAGAGGTTGGAGAACCTCCTACCTTATAAGGCCTCCCTGGTAAGGAGATCTTCCCAATGTGGGACTTGTTACAATACCAAGTCGTTCGAAAGCCAGCGTCCTCGATGACTGCACTCCACGACACTTCACTCACCGGCACTTCACTCATTGGCACTTTACTCGGCCTTCTTACCGGTCAGAACCCTCCAGTGGTCAGAACCCTCCGGCGGTCAGAACCCTCCGTGGGTAGCCCTTCTCGAGTTGGCTGACTCTCAATAAAAGCACCAATGTAACAACAATAAGGCTAAGAGGGGAACCATCCCTCAAAAGCTAGCTCAAGAGGTTGGAGAACCTACTACCTTATAAGGCCTCCCTGGTAAGGAGAACTCCTCAATGTGGACTTGTTACATGCTCAGATTCTTATTTGCCCTTGCAATTATTGTGTTCTTCTCCGTACATTTATTCATATAACTGAAGAAGAAAAGCAAGAAAAGCTAACTGAAGCTCTTCGCGCAGCAAGGAGTTGGATGGCAGCAACACTAGAGAGGGCACATCAAACGCTTAGTTGGAATCGCCACGAGTCGACTCGCCCTGGGAGCGGCGAGTCCGAACACGTCGCTCGTGTCCAACTCGCTGGGTTTCATCCCATTGGGTAACTCCCAAGTGAAGGAGTGAAGCAAGTGCGCCACCGCCACTTCCAGCCCGTACAGACCCAGTTGCATTCCGGGGCAGGATCTACGGCCCGACCCGAATGGAATGAATTCGAAGTCGCTCCCTTCGAAATTCGGCGCCTCCGGGTTCAGAAACCGCAACGGCTTGAACGCTTCGGGCTCCTCCCACGTGCCCTTGTCCCTCCCGATGGCCCACACGTTTATGATCACGCGCGCCCCTTTCGGCACGTGGTACCCACACACCGCCGCGTTCTCCGCCGTCTCGTGGAGTAGAAGCGGAATTGGCGGGTGCAGCCGCAGCATCTCCTTCACCGCGCATTTCAGATATACGAGTTTCTCCATTGGCGGTCCAGGCCCACCACGTCAGCGAGTTCTTGCTGCACTCGCCGTAGCTCCTCTGGGCTTCGCATTAGCTCCGCCATTGTCCACTCGATTCCCGACGCCACTGTTTCGGTCCCTCCGAACATCACGTCCTGCATGTTTTGCATTTATGGTTCGGTAGTTATTATCGGTTAGGAAAATAAAATTGATGACAACCTTTTTTTACCAAACAACTTGATTTATTAATCAAATAATTACTTTTATTTTAATTGAATCACTTTTAGAAATAATTATTCTAGGAATAATAACTGATAGAGACTTGATGTTTCATCAAGTGAATCATTAAAATAAAAATTATGTGTCACATCTTTGTAAAACATTTTCACAGTAAACATTTTAAAATTTAACTTTATTTTGATTAATCTTTAAATTTTAATCATTTACAAATAGATACGGTAGATTTTTATTTTTCATTGATTCATTTCAGTTTAAAATATTAGTTTTTTCACATAAGTTACTTGGTTTAAATTTCAACGTAAACATATTCCTTCTATATATAATTAAATTTATATTAAAGGTTTGTATATATTTTTAGTCTCATAAATATAAGACAATTTTTTTTTCGGTTTTCAATTTTTGTCTTTGTAATTTGAAAACCTATCTATTTTATTCTTTGCTCCAAAACTTATTCAAGATTGTGCTTCTATGATTAATAATTATAAATTATTTAAATGACAATTTACATTAATTTACATTATTATCATTAAATATCTAATCACATATTCATTACAAGAAAATTATTAACTATAAACTAATTTAGAAACGAAAAATATTCAGTCGTTATATTAATTAAATTAAAATTTATCTTAATTAAATTGATTTTCAAAATAAAATTTGAATTAGTCTCTAATTTTAATTATCGATATTTTAACTACTAATTAAAAATTACACTCCAATTTAATAATTTGGAATCTAAATTTTAATTAGTATAATTAAAAATAGTGGTTAAAGAGTAGTGATTTTATTTAAATTCTAATTAAAAATTAATTGGGTTAAAATAGTTTATATCATAGTTAATATAATTTTATTTTATTTTATCTCTAAATTTGTAGATATTTAATAAATTTGTTGATTTTGTTTTCTTTCCAAATATTTATTTCAACAATTTGAAAGAAATTAAAACAAGTTTTAAAGCAGGGTTAAATCTATTTATTAAATTTGTTGTAAATATCAATCATTTATTTATTGTAAATCTTGAATGATAATAAATTATCATAAAATTGCCTTTGGATTGTAGGGATTAGTGGTTGATTAAGGGGGAAAATCCTTGACAATATGGTTGAGAAAACAGTAATTAAAACTAGTTGAGAAATAATGTAGTGAGATGATATATACCATACCATGATAACAGCTTTGATGTTATCCTTGGTTACTCTCATGGCATTCTGCTGCTCGACGGAATCATTGTTGAGCTTAGCCTCTTCACTGTAAAAGTTCAGCAACCCATCAACCATGTCACTCTCTCCCTCACAAATGTCGCGTCTCCTCTTCTCCACGTGCTCGTCAATGATCTTGTCAATGAAACCATCCAACGCGGCACGTGCCTTGATCAGTCTCTTGTTCAGATGCTGAGGATCAACCCACCAAAGACACGGGATAAAGTCCGCAATGTTGAAGGCTTCAAACAACTTCGAAAACTCCTCCAGAATTGAAATGAACTCAGCTTGGCGCTCCCGGCAACCAGACCCTAAAGCCGCACGATACACGATGTTCTTGGTGAGATAATACACCACTTCTCCCACGTTAATGGGGTCGCCCACGTTCGCCGCAATGGTGCGGACGATGGTGTCGACTTCACCTCTCACGGAGTTCCAGGACTCCGCGCGCTTGCGGCTGAAGAGTTTGACGACGCAGATTTTGCGCATCTGGCGCCAGAAGGGACCGTAGTGTGCGAAAGCCATGTCGGCGCGGTCGTAGGTTAGGTACCTGATGGCTATGGTGGCGGGGCGGTTGGAGAAGATGTTGTCTTGGACTTGGAGCACTTCACGCGCCGCTTCCGCGTTTGAAATGACGACCATGTGGAGGAACCCCATGCGGAGGTGCAAAACGCCGCCGTATTGCTTGGCGAGTTTGGCCAAGCCTCTGTGTGAGCTGGTCCATGATGTTCATGTTGCCTATGATGGGTAGGCCTTTTGGCCCCGGTGGATACGGCGCCGTTTTTCTGCGAATTCGTGACAGTAAACCCATCAGCAACAACGTCACCGGGATTATGAACAAGACCGTCGTAGGGAACGGTTCGAGTGCGCTCAGTTGTATGAACAAATCCATGGCGTAGGTTTTACTTTTCTCCGGCTACAAAGTCCTGATAATTAGTTACAGCATTTATATATTCTCGTCATCTATCAAAATATTTTGGGTGAAGCTTTGAGACAAGACTCTTACCCCATAAAGTTGTTCTCATCATTGATCCTCTTGCAAAATGACCGTCTTTTAAAAAAAAAAAAAAAATCTCCATTAGATGTATTTATTAGATGTAATAGTATAAAATAAATTTAAAATTTTTATAATAATTAAGTAGATCTCTTTATATATATATTAAGAATTAAAAATTCACTATATCTATACTTCCTTTTTAAAATTAAATTCATATTTAGTGAGATATCATGTAAAGTTTAAGTCAATTTTTCAAAAGAAATTTATTTAACTAAGAACAAAACTCAAATATAGTAATATTTAGTTTTGCTATAAGTAAGTGGTAATAATAAAATATATTTATCGGGTTAATTACTTAAATTTCAATTCAGCGTTCTTAAATTTCTTAAAGTTAAAGAAAACACGCTGAATGTAATAATTCTGATAGACACATGTACACATGTTTGTAGGAGGGTATATATATTCTTTTTAAAAAATCATATCAAACATTCATGTCTTTTCATGTAATAATATCTTTAATATTACTAATTTTATATTATTTAATATAATTTTATTATCTTATCATAACGGAGATTTTTCATCATATTGTGAATTTTTTAATAATTTAAATATTAATAGAGTTATCTCATATATCAATTTAAAAAATATAAATTAAAATATATTTATTTTTTTAATATAAAATATAATATGTACAATCTATTTATATAAAATAGAAAGTGGTAATTTTTTTATTAAATAATAAAAAAAATATATAAATGATATTTTATAAAACTAATAAAAAACAATAATAATATTATGGTGAGAAACAAAGTGTGAGAAAAGAATTAAAAAAAATTGATAAAAAGAAGAAGAAAAATTATGTATAAATAATAAAAAAATATTTAGGTAAAGAAATTAATTAAAAAATTATTTAAGTAATTTTTAATTTATTTTTTTATCCCATATAAGATTGAGTGGCATATATATCCCATGTTCCAGCTTCATCAAATATTTTAATAATACTTTATTTAAAAACAAAAAATCCCAAGATTAGGTGAATATTGAAGATCTCAATGCAGTTATTAAAGATTACATTTATTGTCACTCATTATATATATATATATATATATATATATATATATATATATATATATATATATATATATATATATATATATTACGTATCTAGGTAATACAAATTCTATATTCTAGTATCATAACCAACCAATTAATTAACTTTTTTTGTTTTTAAGAACGAGTAGAAAAAAACAACAATTTTACTTTGTTTTTAAAGACACGAGTAAGACTTCCGATAATTTGAGTGAGCAATTTGTGAAGCTTTACAGCAGTGAGACTTTCAAGAATTCGAGTAAAGGTTCTTGTGAATTAACTAGTACACCAAACTTTGCTAAAAAGATGTTTGGGTTAACCTGGGTAGGAAGACAACAAGCTCCTGTATAGGTTTGTGTTTAGGCCCCAATTCCGTCCTTGGCAGAATCGAGCACGCGGCCTAGCTCTGATATCAAGAGTTTGGCACCAAGCGCTTTTTTAAATTTTTATTTTCTATTTCCAAACAGGAAATATGTTTTTGAAAATCATTTTTCTGAAAAGAAAAAGAGTTTTTCAATTTGTGTTCCATTTTCTTGGCAAAAGTCAAGCGTTGTCTAAGTTTAATGGAGTCATAAATTGAAAAATTCTTTTGTTTTGTTGGTTTTTCAAAAATGAAATTACCAACTTTAGGATGGTCCAACAAGCTGTTGTCACCTCCAACATAGCTGACCATCGCTTGTACTACTTCTTCAAGGTTATCAAATCCTTGAAATTTGCTGTGTTTGTCATTACCTATCGCCTTCAACAGAGAGGGATATGATAGGTAGACGTCACGCTTGTCTCCAATAAAAAGGCAGTAGGCCTCAAGCAAAAGGGTCGTTTTTATTTTTTCTTCATTTATGGTTTCCAATTTCAAAGCCATCTGGGTTTCTTCTTTGGAATAAAAACCTTTGTAATTAGACCAAAACTAGTCTTGTTTGGCCTCAGAGAGGTATTTGTAGGAAGTATAAACTCCCTTGTTTGGCCCCGTAACTAGGGCATAATGTGTAAACCCCTTACCAGAAGGAGAAGTTGCGGAAGTCAACCTAACTTCCTTGTTATCTGCATTGCAGAAACTGTATAATGCGCTAATAATGCTTTGCTTCATTTTAGTGACTTGTTGCTCATTCTGAACTGTGTATTTTGGAATATTCCAAATGTTGTCAATTAAAACATTTAATTTGACATTTGTAGATTCCCTACCAGGAAACTGGTAGGAATTTGTAAGTACGGGTAACTCTTGTTTCCCATAATTCATGTATTTTTCCACCATAAATGGGGATTTTGTGGGTTTCGGACCTAAAATTTTTTTCCTCACTAAAGAACAAGAATAGTAACATCACTAAAAGACAAAAATAGTGACATCACATCAATTAATTAATTTTGTTTTTTTTTTACATTTTATCAAAAGACTTATTCAATCTTACCGTCATTAACATGCAAGGCTTAATGGGCCTAACAACATGTAACGGAAGAGGAATCGTGACAAGGTAGCAAGATATCATTATCGCGCTAGCCACTGTATACACCAACCCATAGGACCTTCCCCACATACACTGCTCGAATTCCCCCGCTCTTCGGGATTTTTCCTGAGGACTTACCACATTGCCTCCAAATCCGTCCTCGGCAGGAATCGAACGCATGCACTGGCTGTGAACCCAAGAGTCAAGTACAAAGCGCTTACCACTTGACCAAGAGCTTAAGCTATTAGAAAGGGTTCACACATAATACTTTAGCTCCTGGTCCCACCACGATTCCGTGACTCTGATTTCCCCGCTCTTCGGGAATCTCTAGGGGACTTACCACACGCTGCCCCAATTCCGTCCTCGGCAGGAATCGAGCACGCGGCCTAGCTCTGATACCAAGAGTTTGACACCAAGTGCTAGCCACTTAGCTAAAAGCTTAAGCTGGAAGTTAGAGCAGCCATTGAGGGAATCAGAGTCGCGGAATCGTGGTGGGACCAGGGGCTAAAGTATTAAGTGTGAACCCTTACTAACAGCTTAAGCTTTTAGCTAAGTGGCTAGCGCTTGGTGCCAGACTCTTGGTATCAGAGCTAGGCCGCATGCTTGATTCCTGCCGAGGACGGAATTGAGACAGCGTGTGGTAAGTCCCCTCGAGATTCTCGAAAAGCGGGAGAATCAGAGTCGCGGAATCGTGGTGGGACCAGGGGCTAAAGTATTAAGTTTAGCTAAGTGGCTAGCGCTTGATGCCAAACTCTTGCTATCAGAGCTAGGCCTCGTGCTCAGCAGAAAACGCTTACCACTTCCTCGCAGAAAAAATAACCAACCAATTAGAATTTAAAGTATTAGTAAACTTAAAAATTTTCTCGATAATTTTATTTTAGTTTCTATTTTCAGTATAAATATACTTTTTATATAAATAGTTTAAGTTGGATGATTTTTTTAAATAATTCATGTATAATTAAAAGTATTAAGAATTATAATAAAACATCGTTATTCAAACATCAACTTAAAAAATAAATATATATTTAATTTCATTTTTTTACAAAATTATTTTAATAAAATAAATATTACCTTAATTTATATATTATAATATTACAGTCACCATCACGTTAACAAGTGGATGTTATCGTGCCAATAACTCACTGTAACATTATATATACCTAATAATGCGTTATAGCTTCATTTTTGTTAAGTAAGACTAGTGTATTTTAATGAAAAGATCTACACTTTCTTCTTCTATTCTTTTAACCCAATAAATAATATTAAAAAAATTCTACATATATTGTTTTAACTTTTTATATTAATTATTGAACTGATCTGATAAGTTTTAATAATAAGTGACAATTATATTGAATTACACAGCAATCCACTTTTTATGTCACTCAAAACCTACCCAACATTTATGCTTATTTATATTTTTCAGGGCTTATGCATAGTTAGACCCATCTTTTTAGAATTTTATTTGCTCATCAAACCCTCCCACCACATAACAATATAGGTTTTTGTTGTATATCATAACAAAATATTGTCAAAATACTTAAGAGAAACATATTTTATTACTTATTTAACACTATTTAAAGTATATAATAAAAGATATTTTCATTGTGTCTTTGACAAGATATTGTTAAGATACATAAAATATGTAATAAATACACAGGGAACATGTGTTATTGTTATCATCTAGTGTAATTATACAAAAAAAAGTCTCCATAAATATTAAAACATTTTTGTCAAAAAAAAATCACGGGAGGTTTTAATAGTAATTTGGGCGGTGCTAATATTAATGCCCTAATATACTTTTCAAAGTCTTTGTATGATGATGGGCTTACAATTTTGATGGGCTGATTAGATTCGAGAGTCTTAGACCTTACTTTTGGACTGATAGGTGCACCACTTAGATAGATTAATGAAGAGAAGAAATACTCTACTTTTTTTTAGCACAAATTGCATTATTTTATTGTATTAAATTGGTGAAGTTTGAGAAGCAAGAGTAAAATCGATAATGGATTAAATAAATATTAATTTACTAATGAAATTTTATCATAATAAATGGAATCTGCGCATGGGAAACTTTTAATAATCTAGATGCCCCACTTAGTGATTATATTTGAAGAATTAATTTGGCAGTTTACACATAGAAAAATGACTTTTTTTTTTCTATGACCAGAATCCATGAAAAAAAATATGGGTTAAAGAGAAGATAATATTAAAAATTACTAATTAAATTTAAGCATACATGGTTATTGTTTATGAAAAGCTTTGGGATTAGACTTCCCAGCACTTGGTTTTTAGGTTTTTTTTTTTTTTTTTTTTTTTTTTTAGTGTAGAATTTTACTTGTATTATTTGGTTGGTAGTTTCTATTTGTTTATTGTCAACCATCATCAATTATTCTCCTTATACATGATTGGAAGTCTTAAATATTGTTTAATGAGTTATTTAAGTTATTACTAAAATATAATTTGTATGAGAAGGAAATATTTCCTCCATACTTAGAAATGATGGCATGGACAGTTGGCTTCAATATTGGAACTCTTCTCAGTATGATAATGGCATTGAAAAATCTAAGACCGTGCACGAACATGCAACAGTAGCACAATCTTATGTCCACCACATGTAATATCTGTCACGCCACCACTACCACCAAATTTGTAATCGTTAAGAAAAAGCCAACACCACCCCACCCAACAACACCTGTCCACTCCATCCCATGTGCTTTACGTCAATCTCTTTACTTAATGGACTTACAACTGCATTAGCTATGGAGGTTTCCAACTTCTCGGAGAAAGTGCCATGTTTATGTCATTAGCAGACAAACATAAACTAAGCGCATAAAATACAAGACTAATCAAACATAATGCAATATAAAAGAATACATGTGAAGATCTAGACACCATCATGTGATCCTTTCGCTAATGTTTATATCTTTATTGTCTCTCACCTACCACAAGAATAGTTACTTATATCACAACAGTGTTCTTAAATTCTATGTAACAGTAGAGTCCATGAAAAGTCAAATAAAAAATGTCATCATAATTACACCATTTTCTACGCTGTGACTTAGATAATAGTCTGCTTAAACCGACAAGGTATTTTATGCTTGGGTGCTGCACTAATGGGGAAACATTTTCCACATAAAGTCTACTAAGTAATAAAGAAATTTCAGTTATAGTAATTATATGTGTCCCAGACACGAACTGGGACATGAGAGAATTTAAGTACTAGTTTTATTACTTATATTCTCTCCGTTGCATTGAGTACAAACCAAATTGCAGGGAAAATAGAGGTGGGGACAAATTGCACTTGAAGCCAAATCAAAGTTGCACTTGAAGGCCTAACTTTTGCAGCCTTATGGGGGGTTACGGGATTTTGCGGCTTGGAGTTTGTTAGTGAGGGTGGGGACTATATTAATTGTACTTCATTTAGGTTTGTGAATCGGAATACACGAGTGCTCCCACTGCAATGCGAAGGGTATAAAAGGGTGGTATAAGGTGAGTGTGATGCATCATCATCATCTTGGAAAACCAAAACATGGGTGGTTCCAGGAGTGTGTTTTGGGTGTTTCTGGTGATTGTTGTGATCGTAGGTCCTTGTTTGGGTAATGTGAAAAATGATTTTCATGAATTAAAGGGTGGCAATGGCA